AGGAGGAAGCAGAGTTTAAGGACGTCTATCCTCAGCTTCCAGTGATCATTCAGGAGGGTGATTATTGCATCAGAGATGAAGAGGAACGAATCATAGAGAGAGGACAAGCAGAAACAACTATAAAGATGAATCCAAGCTCCAAAAGTAAGAAGAAAATTACACGTTTGGAAACTAAGGGTAGAGCGAGGCTTAGGAGAATGAAAGATGATGATGATCAGAGTGATTTAGAAGAGATCATGGGTGGATATGATCCTGTGATCAGACGGAGGCTGGCCAGAGCGGAAAGAAGGGGTGATGAAAGTTGGAAGAAGAAGAATACAGGAGACCAGATCTCTGATGAAAGTGAAGATGGAGACAGCAATGAAGAGTGGGAGATTAAAGGTGCTTCATGTTCAAGAGGATTTTATCCTACAATGACTACTGAAGTGTTGTGGTGGCAGCCCGGCTGACGGTGAGTGTGCTGGTTTTTTCTCCTTTTTATCAGTTATTCTGCTTTTTTCCTTGGTTTTCTGTTCCCTACCTGCCTCCCTGTGTTTTCTCCCCTGTGTGCTCTCTCTCTCCCTCGGCTCCTGAGCCCAGCCAACTACCTGCACCTGCACCTCATCAGCCACCTTGTCAGCCTGCCACACCTGCCAGAAATCACCTCATGCCTGCCTGTATTTCAACCCCGGTTCTCCACACCATCCTCGCTTGATCGTCATTGCTCCATACCCGGTGCCACCTCTGTGTTCAGGCTTTCATGTTTCTTGTTTTTCCACATTTTCCCTGTGCCTTGTCGCCGTAATCCCTAACCCTGTCTCTCTGTCTGTTTCCCTCCCAGGTACACTCACCCTCGTCCTCCGTTCAGTCAGCTGGGCTCATCCACCGGCCCTCTCCTCCTCAGACTTCCCCCACGGCGTCCTCCCTGTTCTCCCACCGCTCCTCGCTTCCTCAGCCCCAGTGTTCCCCGGCTCCCTGGCCCCCTGTCTCCTTGGTTCATCGTGCCTGTGCTTCCCCGACATCCACCTCTTCCTCCAATCCAGTCCCTCTACCCCTTTCTCCCTCAATAATCCTCCTTCCCTCCAAACATTGCATTTGGGTCCTCTCTGTCCCCACACCACACGACCCCGCAACACTGAAGAAATAGAAAAAGACATGGATCGATGCATATCATGCTTGGAGAAGTCGACTTATCCAGAAGAAATAATAGAATTGGAAGAACATCTCGAGAAGCTGACAATACAGAGGGAGAAACTGCGGAAAAAAGGGTACCAAAAATTGGAGAGGAAGTATGCATTACGCCCAAGAAAAGGGAGCACAAGTAAGAAGATGCTGCCAGTGATAATCCGAGGACAGAATCTGGAGTATAAGCCTTTGCAGAATACCGATATGTCAGATATACTTGAGAAGTTGACTACTCTTCAAGATGGAGCAAATCCTTGGATCTCGAAGTTGGAAGAAATTACGGTAGGAACACAAACTGCCATAGGAGATATTAAGAGACTTTTTGCTAATCTCCTTGGGATTCCAGGTATGGAAGAAATATTTCAGAGAGCTGGACTTAATCGATATATGGGGACTGCTGTAAATGATCCTGAGTTGTTCGCTGCAAGTAGGAATCGACTGTGGAGAGCACTGAAAGACACGTTTCCAACAAATGTGCATCCTGACAATATTCTGATTGATCCATTGGGAAAAGAAGCCTATGTGTCGAGAGCTCATCAGGTGTGGAGAAATATTACAGGAAATGATCCAGATGCGAGTCAAATGGAGCGGTCAATTTTGCGAGCTAAATTACAGATGGGGCTGCCCTCACCAGTAAGGAGCAAACTGGCAGAGTTGGTTGGACTTGGAAGCATGGCAATAGGGGTCTATACAGATCATATAGCTCATCAAGTGGATCTATATAGGAAAAAGGAACATGACCAGAAAGAACAGGACCAAGTGACTCTCAGGAAACTCAATCAAATACAACTGGTGGAAAATAAGAAGAAGGAGAAGAAACAGGCTTTGGTTATGCAGGATCAGTGTTTACCAAAGCAACAATCACCACCACAGCTTCAGTCAAGCCAGGAACAACCGCAATTGCCCCAACCACCACTAGTGGTTCCAGTTGTTTCATATCCACAGCTAGTTTATGGACAGACGCAGAATTGGAGAGGAAGGGGACGAGGAAGCTCAGGAAGAGGAGGAGGAGGAGGAGGAGGATTTAATCCATACTTTCAGCAGTCTCCAGAAGTGTGTTATAATTGTGGACAGGTTGGTCACTTTGCCCGTGAGTGCAATAGGTCAGGAGGAAATTTCAGAGGAGGAAAATTCAGAGGAGGATTCAGGGGCCAGTCAAGGTCACTTGGAGGACTGGTGAACCCTCACAGGGGCCCTGAGCCAGGATTCTAGAGGTGCCCAGAAAATCCAAAAGGGGGGTGTCAGCTGGTAGCATCAGGGCCGGAAAGAGATCCAACAGTTGAGATGAAAGTAAATAACCAACCATTGGAAGTGATGGCGGATAGCGGAGCTGCTTTCACCTATGTTTGGCCTGAAGATGCTACACATCTTCCTATATCCAATCAACTGATTCAGACAATCAGGTTTGAGGGAGTGAAGCAGCTGATTCCTCTCACGGAACCAATTGAGCGATGCTATAAAACCAGAAAACTACAATACTCATATTGGTGTCAGAACATACACCTATTGCCTTATTGGGAAGAGATGCTTTGTGTAGATTGAATTGCACAATAAAATGTACACCAGATGGCTGTCTGATAGAAGTGCCAAAAGAAACGGTTCACCAATTACTGATGACAACAGAGATGGAGTCCTCTTCAGTATTTTGTATTGGAAATCTCAGTGCAGATTTTTTGGAGCCGGCTAAGATATGGGAGAAATTTATTGTGGCGAACATGCCAGATGCGAAACTTCCGGAATATCCATTTCATTGTACGCTCAAGTATTTTAAGAATGCTGCCCAATCAAACCCAGAGGAATGGTTGGCTCAATAACCAAAGGGAATTCAACTAAGCTCATGTTGCATAATTTTGGGACCACAAGGAGCAGCTGGAGATGATCTTTATCTGGAGAAAGAATTCGAAATTGAGAAGAGTGTACCACTTGTGACGTTTTTGGTTTCTGAAGACTATGAGCAGAAACACATAGGAGAAATGATGACAGAAGCAGAGGAAGCTGTTTTTGTACCAATGAACGAGAATTTGGCAATTTGGAGGAGTACAGATCAGCAATTCCTCAAAATCATGATTTCAGCTGAAGGACAGCCACAAGCTGTATGGATGACACATGAATCTATTTGCAGTGCCAAGATGGATTCAGATTCTATGAAAGAGGAGATGTTACGACAAGTTCCAGAATGTTTGTGGTCTCAACACAGTACCGATATTGGACTTGTGAAGTCAGCCCAACCAGTAAAAGTTGAACTTCGACCAGGAGCTAGACCTCCTTGGAAGTATCAGTATCCATTGAAGGATGAAGCAATTCAAGGGATCGAACCACAAATTGAAGGACTTTTGAAACCAAGTTTCGCTTTTTTTCTTGATGCTTAGGGATATACAGGTGCTGGTCATATAATTAGAATATCATCAAAAAGTAATTTATTTCAGTAATTCCATTCAAAAAGTGAAACTTGGATATTATATTCATTCATTACACAAACACAGATACATTTCAAATGTTTATTTCATTTAATTGTGATGATTAAAACTGACAACTAATGAAAATCCCAAATTCAGTATCTCTGAAAATTAGAATATTACTTAAGACCAATACAAAAAAAGGATTTTTAGAAATGTTGGCCAACTGAAAAGTATGAAGATGAAAAGTATGAGCATGTACAGCACTCAATACTTAGTTGGGGCTCCTTTTGCCTGAATTACTGCAGCAATGCGGCGTGGCATGGAGTCCATCAGTCTGTGTCACTGCTCAGGTGTTATGAGAGCCCAGGTTGCTCTGATAGTGGCCTTCAGCTCTTCTGCATTGTTGGGTCTGGCGTATCGCATCTTCCTCTTCACAATACCCCATAGATTTTCTATAGGGTTAAGGTCAGGCCAGTTTGCTGGCCAATTAAGAACAGGGACACCATGGTCCTTAAACCAGGTACTGGTAGCTTTGGCACTGTGTGCAGGTGCCAAGTCCTGTTGGAAAATGAAATCTGCATCTCCATAAAGTTGGTCAGCAGCAGGAAGCATGAAGTGCTCTAAAACTTCCTGGTAGACGGCTGCGTTGACCTTGGACCTCAGAAAACACAGTGGACCAACACCAGCAGATGACATGGCACCCCAAACCATCACTGACTGTGGAAACTTTACACTGGTCTTCAAGCAACGTGGATTCTGTGCCTCTCCTCTCTTCCTCCAGACTCTGGGACCTTGATTTCCAAAGGAAATGCAAAATTTACTTTCATCAGAGAACATTACTTTGGACCACTCAGTAGCAGTCCAGTCCTTTTTGTCTTTAGCCCAGGCGAGACGCTTCTGACGCTGTGTCTTGTTCAAGAGTGGCTCGACACAAGGAATGCGACAGCTGAAACCCATGTCTTGCATACGTCTGTGCGTGGTGGCTGTGGCAGAGTGGTCCACCAGTTGTAAATTGGTTAAATGACTTCTGGGGTTTGAAAAAAAAGATCAATCAGGAACTTCAGTGCTATTGCCACACATTTCCATGGTTTAACCTCCCTCATGTCAAGTTTCGGCAGTCTCTGCAGGCTGAAGGACAGCTTCACCTCAGCACCACTCCTCACTCTATCAAACTACTTATTTCATTGTCATAACTTGTCACGCTGGTAAAACTTCTTTCAACATTCCATTTTGGTGGAATACAGCAGTTCCTTCTTTGACAGGACAAAAGAAGGCCGTGTGCAATAATACAGAGCCAAAAACAATAACTTGAGTTTAGATTGGAAATTCTCTATCTGGTGATTTGTGTTTGTCACACATCAACATTTCTGAAGTATTTATAGTGTATGAGTCACATGGTTAGCCTCCATTCCAATATAAAGGCCTTAATAGATGTTGACTGTCACATGAGGTGACAGCTTTACAGTATCACCTATGAACTAGACAGAAGTGGAAGACACCAACATAGTTTTAAAACAAACAACTGAGAAACTACAGATAGAGAAAGGGATATTATAACTTTTCATTTTGGGTAAGTACAGTTTAAAGAATTTTTTTTCTTTTTTTGCATGTATTCATTGTGTATTGTATGTATGCATTTCTATTTCTTTGTAAATTATGTGTAATTCATGTATATTACCACATACCTAAAGTGATAATAAGTGATTGCCACATGAAGTCATTAGTATATTTTCAAAATATTATATATGTAAAAATACTGTATTTTTATATAATGCTTTAACAGTTACATTTTATGATACTAGAGGTTCTCTGATATTGTAGTTTATTCCCTAATTACAAGTGCTACTTAAGTATTTTCCCATCTCTATTATCATGGCACATCCGCCTTTGTTTTTATAGCTTGGTGGAATAAAGCACTGGTTTAGGTACAAACACACCAGCATCCTATAATTAAATTCAGATGAACAAAAGTATAATAATTTATGAAATATCAATATGTAATGTGAGTGTTTAGGTTTGTTGAAGATCAGTTTCCTCACTCAGCACACCTGCACGTTCAAGTACTCTGCTTTTTGAAGTAGTACATGTTGACATGTGTATTCTATCAGTTCTAGCTAATTTGATGGAGAATTGGAGTCTAAAGACTCAAGAAATTGATGGAATATGGGAAGCAAAATATTTGACAGCAAGATAGACACAGGTGGAATTTGTCAGAAAGGTTTCAGTTTAAGCACTAAATTCTGAGCACTTTACATAATTTCATTTTGTTTTTGTATTGCATTGGCTTTAGGAGACTGAAATTAGGTGTTGTGTTGGGAATTCTTTTCAACAAATACATAATTGCCACTCCCCATTTACTAGAATTTGAAACAGTGCTGGTAATCTTTTGGTCCAGAGTACAGCCACATTTTCTCAGTGTGGTTATTTTATTATGGTATTTTTTCAGAACTAGACATTAATGAAAATGTAATGTATACAATGTAATAAAACATAGATGAGTTTCAAAGGAGTAAAAGTAGCATTTTATCAACGCTGTTTAAAAGTGTAAAATATATTTGGTGTCGAAATTGCATTTTCTTTTAAATAATCTACTTCATTTAAAATACAAATGGACAGAGATACAGAGAACAAACAAAATCATATAAATGTCTGCATATTGTAAATATTATCCACTTGACATGTTGTAATACGCTGTATTCTCCAATTCCAACATTAACATTATAGTGAAAGCAGATGTTATAGTAGCTAGCAACTGTAGTGCAAAACGTTATCACATGCTCTTTCTTTTTCGGAGTAAGTTACTGTATTGTTTGATTTTATAGATTCAAGTGAAAACAAGATGGGCACCAGATGGATCATATCAGTTGTCCTGATTCTAATGGGTAAGCTGAGTGATTTTAAACCCTTTCTCTCTTTCTACAAAATATTAGAAAACGTGTGGGTGTAATGATAGCCAGCTAGGTTTTGCAGTGAGTAAGCCTCACTCCCTGACGCTGTAAGAGATGACTTAACGTGATGCATGCAGAAGTGGATCCTGTGGGCTGGGGGCAGAGAGCGGACAGATTGATGAAATCAGGGCTCCAAAACTCTGACTGGCAAGCAGCGTCTTTGCAATTGGGCTTAGATCATAGATTAGAGTACAAGCAAAAAACACAGGCAGTCAGTACAGTCAAAAAGCTGGATCAAAAAACTCCTACAATCTAGAAAATAGATTGGTACCACTGTGGGTTAAATTGACGATCTGGTGCTGACGGGAAGTTGAGCGGTAGCTTTATTGAAGAGGTTGATAAAAGGGATGAGCTTCAGGTGTTGAACGCTACAGAAGCTCAGCTGGAGCGCCCTGCCTATGACCACACAAACTCTCACACACACATTAGACCGACGATGACTGACAGGAACGATAAGGAAAGGGACAGAGGAAACACAAGGACTGAGGAGGTGCCAGATCACGGCACTGCTACCTGAAAAGAGTGTCCTGCCTTAAACAGTAACTTCATAATTTTGATCGTATGCTCCTCATCTAATAACTATCCATTCTATTAGTTTTTGTATGCTGATAGATCTTTACATGATACAGACAGCCCTCCCTCAAATGTGAAACTAAGTCCTTGTCACCATCATAATTTTTACTGTGTGTGTGTGTGTGTGTGCGTGCACTCGGGAATACTAAAGAAGACCATGGTCTCTGTGTGAACTGATAATTCTGTAGAAATCTGTAGAGTATGAAACTGCGTGAGTGTAATGTTTTAATATATGTAACGTTTTGTTAAACGTTTTTTAGTAATCAATTGAGAGGACACTTTTTTCACTTGAACCCCTCTCCCACAAAATGTTTGTGCACGTCTCTGTCAACGGCCAAATCTTGTTGGCAGCGTATTGACTGCATTTGTAAGTAACTTTAAAGTGTCATTGTTGTATTTCTCTATTTAGTCTATTGGACTCTTCTATTATTTGTAAAAGGATTGAGAGGTAAAGGTGCAACTGCAGATTGGGGCTGGGGAAGAGAGGTAATAATACAAGACAAATAAGAGTGTTACATTTATGGGGGAAACAAATCACAAATCTAAGGATTTGAATATTCTTCGACATTATAGTTATAAATTTTATAAAAATCTAAAAATGTGTTTTTTGTCAAGGAACCACTTCACTTTGCTAGGTTAGATGATATGATGTGGTGTGATATAATGTTTATTGTGCACTACAGCAACAGCAGGAACAACGGTACCTGCTTCGACATCAACCACTGTGTCAACACAGACACCTGCTACTTCAACAAAGACACCTGCTCCAACAACAAAAACAACTGCAGCAACAACAGTGTCAAAAACCACGACACCTGCTCCAACAACTGCAAAAACAACACGTGCTCCGACAACAATTGCAAAAACAACAACCCGTGCTCCGACAACAATTGCAAAAACAACAACCCGTGCTCCGACAACAATTGCAAAAACAACAACCCGAGCTCCAACAACTGCAAAAAAAACAACCCGTGCTCCGACAACTACAAAAAAAACAACACGTGCTCCGACAAAAACTACAAAAAAAACAACACGTGCTCCGACAACTACAAAAAAAACAACACGTGCTCCGACAACAACAGCAAAAACAACAACACGTGCTCCGACAACTGCAAAAACAACAACACGTGCTCCGACAACTGCAAAAACAACGCGTGCTCCAACAACGACACCTGCTCCAACAACTGAGTCAAAAACGACACCTGATCCAACAACTGAAGAAACAACGATACCTGATCCAACAACTGAAGCAACAACGACACCTGATCCAACAACTGAAGCAACAACGACACCTGATCCAACAACTGAGTCAACAACGACACCTGATCCAACAACTGAAGAAACAACGATACCTGATCCCACAACTGAAGCAACAACGATACCTGATCCAACAACTGAAGCAACAACGACACCTGATCCAACAACTGAAGAAACAACACCTGCTCCAACAACTGAGGCAACAACAACACCTGCCCCGACAACTGAAGAAACGACACCTGCTCCAACAACTGAGGCAACCACGACACCTGCTCCAACAACTGAAGCAACCACGACACCTGCTCCAACAACGACACCTGATCCAACAACTGAGTCAACAACGACACCTGATCCAACAACTGAAGAAACAACGACACCTGATCCAACAACTGAAGCAACAACGATACCTGATCCAAGAACTGAAGCAACAACGACACCTGATCCAACAACTGAAGAAACAACACCTACTCCAACAACTGAGGCAACAACAACACCTGCCCCGACAACTGAAGAAACGACACCTGCTCCAACAACTGAAGCAACAACATCTGCTCCAACAACAGAGTCAACAACGACACCTGATCCAACAACTGAAGCAACAACGATACCTCCTCCAACAACTGAAGCAACGACACCTCCTCCAACAACTGAAGCAACAACAACACCTGATCCAACAACTGAAGCAACAACAACACCTGATCCAACAACTGAAGCAACAACAACACCTGCTCCAACAACTGAGGCAACAACAACACCTGCCCCGACAACTGAAGCAACAACGACACCTGCTCCAACAACTGAAGCAACAACGACACCTGCTCCAACAACTGAGGCAACAACAACACCTGCCCCGACAACTGAAGAAACGACACCTGCTCCGACAACTGAAGCAACAACATCTGCTCCAACAACGGAGTCAACAACGACACCTGATCCAACAACTGAAGCAACAACGACACCTGCTCCAACAACTGAGGCAACAACAACACCTGCCCCGACAACTGAAGCAACGACACCTCCTCCGACAACTGAAGCAACGACACCTCCTCCAACAACTGAAGCAACAACGACACCTGATCCAACAACTGAAGCAACAACGACACCTGCTCCAACAACTGAGGCAACAACAACACCTGCCCCGACAACTGAAGAAACGACACCTGCTCCGACAACTGAAGCAACAACATCTGCTCCAACAACGGAGTCAACAACGACACCTGATCCAACAACTGAAGCAACAACGATACCTCCTCCAACAACTGAAGCAACCACGACACCTGCTCCAACAACTGAAGCAACAACGACACCTGCTCCAACAACTGAGGCAACAACAACACCTGCCCCGACAACTGAAGAAACGACACCTGCTCCGACAACTGAAGCAACAACACCTGCCCCAACAACTGAAGCAACAACAACACCTGCCCCAACAACTGAGGCAACCACGACACCTGCTCCAACAACTGAAGCAACCACGACACCTGCTCCAACAACGACACCTGCTCCAACAACTGAAGCAACAACGACACCTGCTCCAACAACTGAGGCAACAACAACACCTGCCCCGACAACTGAAGAAACGACACCTGCTCCGACAACTGAAGCAACAACACCTGCCCCAACAACTGAAGCAACAACAACACCTGCCCCAACAACTGAGGCAACCACGACACCTGCTCCAACAACTGAAGCAACCACGACACCTGCTCCAACAACGACACCTGATCCAACAACTGAAGAAACAACACCTGCCCCGACAACAACTGAAGCAACAACGACACCCGCTCTAACAACTGAAGAAACAACACCTGCTTCAACAACTGAGGCAACAACGACACCTGCTCCACAAACTGAGGCAACAACGACACCTGCTCCAACAACTGAAGCAACCACGACACCTGCTCCGACAACTGAAGCAACCACGACACCTGCTCCAACAACTGAAGCAACAACGATACCTCCTCCAACAACTGAAGCAACCACGACACCTGCTCCAACAACTGAAGCAACAACGACACCTGCTCCAACAACTGAGGCAACAACAACACCTGCCCCGACAACTGAAGAAACGACACCTGCTCCAACAACTGAAGCAACAACACCTGCTCCAACAACTGAAGCAACAACACCTGCCCCAACAACTGAAGCAACCATGACACCTGCTCCAACAACTGAGGCAACCACGACATCTGCTCCAACTGAAGCAACCACGACACCTGCTCCAACAACGACACCTGATCCAACAACTGAGGCAACAACGACACCTGCCCCGACAACTGAAGCAACAACGATACCTCCTCCAACAACTGAAGCAACAACGACACCTGATCCGACAACTGAAGCAACAACACCTGCTCCAACAACTGAGTCAACAACGACACCTGATCCAACAACTGAAGCAACAACGACACCTGCTCCGACAACTGAAGCAACAACGAAACCTGCTCCGACAACTGAGGCAACAACGACACCTGCCCCGACAACTGAAGCAACAACGACACCTGCTCCAACAACTGAAGCAACAACGACACCTGCTCCAACAACTGAGGAAACAACGACACCTGCCCCGACAACAACTGAAGCAACAACAACATCTGCTCCAACAACTGAGGAAACAACGACACCTCCTCCAACAATTGAGGCAACAACAAAACCTGCTCCAACAACTAAAGGAACCACCACCATGGTGATGTTCAGATCTGTTCAAAGCACATTTACAAGTGACTTGAACAATCAATCATCTGCAGCATTTAGAGATCGAGTTTCAATGATAAAGACACAGGTAAGTCAAACCCTTAGAATAAAATCTTCTGTTACAATTACTGAACTTTTTCAACAGAGCTCAAGCCCCCATTCAGAGAACTGAAAGGTTATGGTAACAATTTAAAATACAGCTAATACTCATTTTACTTTATTTTTGTATCTTTCTAGGTTTGTATATTTCTAGGTGTTAATTTTTTTCAAATGTTTTTTTCCAGTAAGTAACCAGTATTTACAAAAATGGTATAATTTACTCTATTGTTCCCTATAGTCTTGTTTCTAAGTAAGTTGTTTATTAAAACTTCATTCAGACAGCAGAATTAGATTAGAGCTAAGTTTCATAAAGTATCAATAACCTTCAAAAATAAGCATTAAGGCATGCTTAACTTCAATACTTGTACAGTATACAATAAAACATACAGTACGAAGAATTGAAACACAGCTAGTGAATGGTCAATTCCCCAAGCAGAAATTCGCCACATAGAAAGGAATCGCATACCAGTTGAAAAAATGTGCACACTGCCCAGAAATACACGTGAAGACACTTAATGTTACTGCAAAAAATTTATAGGTCATCTATTATTTTTTTTATCCTGTGGTGGTTCTCATCATTATTTTTCCTCTTGTCTGTCGATCTCCTGGACACAGTTAGATTTCTGCACTAAAGAAAGTACAGAAAACAAAATAAAAAGAAAAAACTGTAAAATAAGGAAATATAATGATAAACTGGAATATTTGCATTTCCTGATGAAAATACAGGTACATAAGTGCTGCTGCTGCTGCAGAATAATAATAGTAATTATTACATGAAATAAAGAGCGAAGATAACTAAACTACACCTCCAGCTCACTGTACAACTTAGGCAAACATATGTGAAACGTGTTTAAGTACGATTTGTTTTCTGTTTCTGCAGCTTGAACCTGTGTTCCACATGGCTTTCCCTTCCTCCTTCTTGTCCTTGGACGTGTTGTCATTCAGGTAATTTGTTAAGACTTATCATGTTAAATTTTAAGAGTAGTGACCAAAATGTGATATTTCAAAAATATTTTGTTTCTCCATCTGCAGAAATGGATCAGTCATCAATGATGTAAACCTTCTCTTTGCAAGCACATCTGTTCCTAATAATTTTGAGATTGGGAGGGTTTTGATCAATGATAGTTTAAACGTCACTGGCTTCGACATTGAAAGTAGCTCAATCAAAGTGAATGGCACCCTACATTCTGATCTACCTGCTCCAACAACTGAGGCAACAACACCCGCCCCGACAACTGAAGCAACAACGACACCCTCCCCGACAACCGAAGCAACAACGACACCTGCTCCAACAACTGAGGCAACAACACCTGCCCCGACAACAACTGAGGCAACAACGACACCTGCCCCGACAACAACTGAGGCAACCACACCCGCCCCGACAACCGAAGCAACAACGACACCCTCCCCGACAACCGAAGCAACAACGACACCTGCTCCAACAACTGAGGCAACAACGACACCTGCTCCAACAACTGAGGCAACAACGACACCCGCTCCAACAACTGAGGCAACAACACCCGCCCCGACAACCGAAGCAACAACGACAACCGAAGCAACAACGACACCTGCTCCAACAACTGAGGCAACAACGACACCTGCTCCAACAACTGAGGCAACAACACCTGCCCCGACAACAACTGAGGCAACAACACCTGCCCCGACAACAACTGAGGCAACAACACCTGCCCCGACAACTGAAGCAACCACAACACCCGCTCCAGCAACTGAAGCAACGACACCTGCTCCGACAACTGAAGCAACCACGACACCTGCTCCAACAACTGAGGCAACAACGATACCTCCTCCAACAACTGAGGCAACAACGACACCTGCTCCAACAACTGAAGCAACAACGACACCTGCTCCAACAACTGAGGCAACAACGACACCTGCTCCAACAACTGAGGCACCAACACCTGCCCCGACAACAACTGAGGCAACAACACCTACCCCGACAACAACTGAAGCAACGACACCTGCTCCGACAACTGAGGCAACAACGACACCTGCCCCGACAACAGAGGCAACAACGACACCTGCCCCGACAACAACTGAAGCAACAATGACACCTGCTCCGACAACTGAGGCAACAACGACACCTGCAACAACGACACCTGCTCCAACAACTGAATCAACAACGACACCTGCCCCGACAACAACTGAGGCAACAACACCTGCCCTGACAACAACTGAAGCAACAACGACACCCGCTCCAACAACTGAGGCAACAACGACACCCGCTCCAACAACTGAGACAACAACACCCGCTCCAACAACCGAAGCAACAACGACACCTGCCCCAACAACTGAGGCAACAACACCTGCCCCGACAACAACTGAGGCAACAACGACACCCGCTCCAACAACTGAGGCAACAACACCTACCCCGACAACAACTGAAGCAACGACACCTGCTCCGACAACTGAGGCAACAACGACACCTGCCCCGACAACAGAGGCAACAACGACACCTGCCCCGACAACAACTGAAGCAACAATGACACCTGCTCCGACAACTGAGGCAACAACGACACCTGCAACAACGACACCTGCTCCAACAACTGAATCAACAACGACACCTGCCCCGACAACAACTGAGGCAACAACACCTGCCCTGACAACAACTGAAGCAACAACGACACCCGCTCCAACAACTGAGGCAACAACGACACCCGCTCCAACAACTGAGACAACAACACCCGCTCCAACAACCGAAGCAACAACGACACCTGCCCCAACAACTGAGGCAACAACACCTGCCCCGACAACAACTGAGGCAACAACACCTGCCCCGACAACAACTGAAGCAACAACAACACCCGCTCCAACAACTGAGGCAACAACGACACCCGCTCCAACAACTGAGGCAACAACACCCGCTCCAACAACCGAAGCAACAACGACACCTGCCCCAACAACTGAGGCAACAACGACACCTGCCCCGACAACAACTGAGGCAACAACGACACCTGCCCCGACAACAACTGAAGCAACAATGACACCTGCTCCGACAATTGAGGCAACAACGACACCTGCAACAACGACACCTTCTCCGACAACTGAGGCAACAACGACACCTGCAACAACGACACCTGCTCCAACAACTGAATCAACATCGACACCTGCCCCGACAACAACTGAGGCAACAACACCTGCCCTGACAACAACTGAAGCAACAACGACACCCGCTCCAACAACTGAGGCAACAACACCCGCTCCAACAACCGAAGCAACAACGACACCTGCCCCAACAACTGAGGCAACAACACCTGCCCCGACAACAACTGAGGAAACAACGACACCTGCCCCGACAACCGAAACGACACCTGTCCCGACAACCGAAACAACAACAACACCTGCCCCGACAACTGAGGCAACAACGACACCTGCTCCAACAACTGAAGCAACAACGACACCTGCTCCAACAACCAAAGCAACGACACCTGCCCTGACAACGACAACTGCTGCACCAAACACGACTTTGACTGTTCAACCTATTTACTATGTCTTAATAATTTTGGAAGTTTCTTTTTCAATTGACCTCAATAACCCCAACAGCAGTCTATACAAAGATCTTGAGCATCGAGTTGTAGCTACGGTGAGTAATTTCCCAAATTGAACAAATTAATCGACCGTGAGAATGTTACACATGATTACACACAAATGTTTAGCAGAAGGACACATTTGTTAAGCTGGAAATTAATTTCATGTACATTTTCATTTCAGTCCAATTTAATTTTAAAACAATTGTGCTTGAATGCTACTCAACGGTTTTCAATGTTGCTTTTTCTTGCAGTGTGAGTTCATATACAGACCAAGATTTGTTCAGTTTGACCACTGTTCTATGACAATGTTCAGGTAAATACATTTTCTTATTGTAGTTCATTGGTGTTTTGTATGCAGAGGTATGGTCTTAAAATAGGTATTGTCTAATGGTGATACTGTAATGTTTACATCATCCATAACAAACGGCAACAGAATCATCCCATATTTTTATTTGACATATGGTTTTATGAAACAGGAGTGTCCAAATTCCAGCCAATGGAACTGAAGCAGAGCTGCAGATTGTGTTCAATCAGAAAACTCGCTCTGCAGAACTCCCACAGAACAGTGTCGTTGCTCAAACCTTAGTAGAGGCTGTGAGTAATACCAACAACAGCTTCAATGTGACCATAAATCCCAAGAAAGTCAAAATAATAGGTAAGTAAACACAACACAATGTATTGCTCTAATCAGTATGTAAAACATTTACCTCTTAACCTTCCTGTAAAATTCATGCAAAACGCCTATTCAAGGCATATCCAAAGTAAATTGAATGTAACAATGAATAAAATTAATGTAATGTTAAACCATTTGGAGTATATGAATGGTTCTGGGCTTCTTTGAAAGATAACACTCTGTAGTGTCTAACCCAAAAGTCATGATTGTAAGTGCTACTGGAATTGATTTAAATAAGTTAAATAAATATTATGCTGATGCACAGGAAACTAAGGTATACACAAGATTCATCAAAAAAACTGTGTTCAGTGTTGGACAGTTTAATCCATCTTTCTGTTCAACACTGTGGCATGACAAGCTTTTTTTAAGCTACCTTGTATTCAGCCAGAATATGTGTAATGTAAATAATTTGTTATTAACTTTAAGATTTTTGACATTAGCAACTTCGAACTAGACAAGAAGCTAAAATGTCTACCAAGTCAACTCTTTCTATGGCCTTTATGATCAGTGAAACTGGCACCATTTTATTTTTTTACAAATATAAACAAATCATTTTTGAATTCTTATTAATTTATTCTTTTTTAAATGTTTTACAGCAGGTCCAGTTCCATCTACGACTACCACATCTACAAATGCTGCACCAATCAACGTGAATGGCACCCGTAAGCTATATTGTGTTCTACTTCTTCAAAAATGTCACAACGTTGCACAGCTGTTTTTAAAAGTAATGTTTTGTTTACTTTTTACCGAATTTACAGAATCAAGTGGAGTGAGCCACAAGATCAGTCTCGTTACTGCATCCTGCCTGGTATTGTTGTCATGGATACTATCAAGCCAGCAATAGCATCAGTGCTGATTACCATTTGAATTGCCAGCAGACTATGACTGCCATTACTGGTATGAACAAGGACTTTGTTGTCGGTAAAAATCCAAGATTCATGATGGTCTTTGCTCTTGTATGTAGAATGACACAGCCAACTTTAAGCACCTGGCCCATTGAATCATCACTACAATAACAACCTAAACAAAATAACAATACTGTCTGTTAAGCCCTGGGATGTCAGAAATGGTTGCACTCTTTGACTTTTTATTTAAAATGTAATGTATAAATGCATCTTGCTTCTCTGAGCACTGTGCTATAGCAATATTTAACTTTCAGTACTAATTCTGTTCTTAGGTCATGTTAAACAAGTAAAATCAGCCACACTGGAAAGTAAAATCACCTTCACCATTGTCTGAATGTATTTTATTTTGAAACGTGCCGATTGAGAAATTCAAATGTGAGATGTCTGTGAAGTTAGTTGTCATCAACACAGGTCATTTTACAAGCAAAGATGATTCAAAATGGTGTTTTACTCAGACCTTCAAATTATCTAAACCTTTCTGTAACTTTCAAAAGCATGTGAAATTTATGTTTAGGTTTCATTTAGTGTACATATTGTATTTATGTAATCACGTATACCTATATTCTGTGAGACTATTGTGGTTTGTATAATTTCTATCAGAAACTTTACAATGATCAGAATGCAAATTATTTTGTGAATTTAAATTGACTCTAGTGTGATGTTTTTCATGAGTAAACAGAAAATGTATCAGGGCATGTTTAACCTTGTACAACTCTTATAAAATTGAAACACCTATCATTTTGTGTCTGAAACTTAATTTTGATTAAAGGCGATTGCTTCTTACTCACTAGATTGGTACGAGCAGAAGCAGCAAGTGATTGATGGCTTGATGGCAAAACATGATGGAAAAAGTCACAAAACACACTAGAGACTTCACGATAGAGTAGTTTGGCTGATACAGTTGATAAGTAGATTGCAATCAGGGTGGAGATAGATGGCCTTTCAGTTTTTGGACCCTTCCTCTGAACGCCCTCCCTAGCCACATCCAACAAGCTAACTTTATGCCATCTTTGAAACAAGCCCTCAAAACCCACCTTTTCAAGTCTACATTCCCCAGTTAACTTCGTTCCCTTCTCTCCCGTCAATGTTCTTTTCAACTAATTATTTTTATCTTCCCACTGTGAAGTGCCTTTGAGTATTTAGAAAAGTGCTATATAAATGTAATTTATTATTAATATTATTAACTGTCACAAGCCAGCTCTAAAACTGTGACAAAAAGGAGGTGAGACACAAAAGGCACAAGCATGCTAAAGATATGATTTATTGTAAAAGTTAATAATAATAATAATAATAATCTTTATTTGTAGAGCGCTTTTCAAAAACAAGTGCTTTAACAAGTGTAAAGACAATAATACCCAAGAGACAATAATACAAAAACAATACAAGATAAAAGCATGAAAACATTGAAAAGACTAAAATACATGTTTAAGATAAATATAAAATTAGTAAAATACAATAAAATAAAAGGGATAAAATAAAGTGAAATACGATCGGGAAAGGCTCTCCTATAAAAGTATGTTTTAAGAAGGCACTTAAGAGTTCCCTGACTCAGCGGACCTGATTTCCTTGGGCAGGCTGTTCCAGAGCCTCGGGGCCCTGACAGCAAACGCTCTGTCCCCTTTAGTTTTCAGTCGAGACTCTGGAACAGACAACAGACCTCTGCCCGAGGATCTCAAGGTGCGTGCTGGTGTGTATGGGACTAAAAGGTCAGAAATCTAACAAGGCGAGAGGCCATGAAGAGCTTTAAAAGTGGTCAATAGAATTTTAAAGTCAATTGTAAAACATACTGGGAGCCAGTGTAATGAAGCTAAAATAGGAGTAATGTGGTCATATTTCTTTGTTCTGGTTAAAAGCCTGGCAGCTGAGTTCTGGACAGTCGGGAGTCGATCAATAGATTTTTGGTTTAAACAGGTGAAAAGGCTGTTGCAATAATCCAGGCGTGATGGGATGAAGGCGTGTAAAATGGTCTCGGTGTCCTTAAAAGTTAACATAGATTGAATTTTTGCTATATTTCTAAGTTGATAAAAACATGATCGTACAAGCTTTGTGGTGTGCTGCTCAAAATTTATATTACTATCAAACCAAACACCAAGGTTCTTTTAAGGTTTCACAGGCTTAATGTGATTTACTAGGGAACCAGCAGATGGCAGTATCTGCCAGTCTGCTGGGACCCGATGACCAGGATTTCTGTTTTGTCTGAGTTCAGCTGGAGGAAATTATTTGACATCCATTTTTTAACTTCACAAAGGCAGTTGTTAAGTGAACTCAGCATTCCAGGGTCTGTGGATATGACGGGAAAGTATATTTGTGTGTCATCAGCATAAATATGAAAAGAAATGCCATGTTTATGGATAATATGTCCAAGGGGAAGCAGATACAAAGAAAACAAAATGGGTCCTAAGACCGACCCCTGAGGCACACCATATTTAACTGGACAGAACGAGGAAACATAGTTGTTTACAGACACGCAAAACGTCCTATTTGACAGGTAGGATGAAAACCATTCTAGGGCCGTACCAGAGATCCCCACCCAGTGCCTCAGTCTGTCTAACATGATGTTGTGATCAATGGTGTCAAAAGCAGCGCTAAGGTCCAGGAGTACCAGGACTGAGCACATACCTTCATCAGCAGACATTAAAAGGTCATTGGTGACTTTAAGCAGGGCAGTCTCAGTGCTATGGTACTTCCTAAAACCAGACTGAAACTTTTCAAATATTTTGTTATTTTCCAGTACAGTGAGCAGCTGTTTGGACACAATTCTTTCTAGAATCTTTGCAATAAAAGTTAGTTTTGAAATTGGTCTGTCCAGGTGTGCTGCATGAATGATTAGTCATTCACATAAATCATGTGTGGACCGCACCACATGCTGTATGTGCGCAGCTAACAATTCTGAGCCCCGTTTGTTTGGGTGAAGTCCGTCTGTCTTAAAAAGACAGTGTCGGCAGGCACTGTGCGCCGAAAGAGATCCGTATCATGGAGGCTTGAAGCCGCAGGTGCATCCGCTGGTTGGACCAGAGTGTCGTCAGACAGGGCTGCATAGCGGTTGGAGAGGCCGATGTGCGGAGGAGAGGCAGCCCCGTCCGAGCCTCTCTTGCAGCCACAGACCACCACTTCAGCCCAGGTTGATTGATGCTTTGGAGTCGAGCAGGATGAAACGCCTGGGAAGGCTAGAGGGGTCCCAAAACGGTTGCGCTAAGAGAAACAAACTGTTTGGCTTGTACTGAAGCCACATCCATAAAGCCAGTCAGCAGGGAATCTTTCTCTTTGAGTTCCTCTGAAAGTAGTCGGATGTCTTCCATAAGGTCAGCAATCTTCTTGTTCGCTTTCTTAAGGAGTGAGCAGTCCTCATGGGGCAGAGTTATCTCGGCTAGCATAGTCACCGGAGCTTTGTTGCGATCAGTAGCGTTGATCGCGTTTTTACGGTCATCTAGCTTAAAATCCATGTCGGATGACTAAAATCCTTAACCCACGTAAAACTTAAGTTAAAAACTTAAGTTAAAAACTTAAGTTAAAAACTTAAGTTAAATAAAAAGTATATAAAAAATGTAACGAAGTGCCAGTTAATCACTGTCCAGGCAACTTAACCTCACATGAACTAAGGGTTTATCAAGACCTCTCGGTTGACAGAGCAACCATGAACTGATGTCTCCAAATGGGTCTCTACACACACGCAAATCAAAGAAAGGGCCCCTTTGTTCTCTAGTCACACCAGAGTGTCAAACAGATAAGGCTGGCAGACGTAAACCTCTACAAGCATTTTTGGCTTTTAAGGAACCTGCCCAGGTTCTTTCATTCAGTCATACTGTCATAAAGTCTCAAAATCTATTGTAACCAACTAGCAACTAGCAATTTGTTAAGAATATCTGTAATATATGTTCTGTTCTATTTTTTATACTATTGTTCCAAGAATTGGGTGAAATGTGAATTGGCAACTGTCAAGGTTTGATCTATACATTCTCCTCAGGGAGCCATAGTATCCCTCCCGAGGACAAAAGAGGTTTAACATGCCAAAGAATCTAACTAATTTCTTTATGTTACAGGGATTCAAATTTCTCCACTATAAACTGGTTATCTAATTTGTTTAGTTAATTCTTATTCTTTCTTCTATGTAGTAATTCCCTTTTCGAGTTTGTTAGAATAGAAGTTACATGTAGCTGCTAAATAGTTACAATATTCTAGTTAAGTAATACTGCCAACTGCCCTTGCGGGGTGGTATGTGTCATCTTCAAGCTCGGGTCCTCTATCAGAGGCCTGGGAGTTTGAGGGTTCTGCGCAGTATCTTAGCTGTTCCTAGCACTGCACTCTTCTGGACAGAGACCTCTGATGTTTTACCTGGAATCTGCTGTAGCCCCTCTCCCAGTTTGGGGGTCACAGCCCCCAGTGCTCCGATTACCACTGGCACCACGGTTGCTCTTACTTTCCACATCACAAGCTTCTCGTGTTCCTTCTTCTTGATAATGTAGCCTTCTTCTGCTGTTTGTCGATCAACACGATGTCTGGTTGGTTAGCTATTACCAGTTTGTCAGTCTGGATCTTGAAGTCCCACAGGATCTTAGCTCGGTCATTCTACGTTAGGAGGTGTCTTCCATTTTGACCTTGGGACTTCCAGCCCATACTCATGGCAGATGTTCCTGTATACTATGCCAGCTACCTGGTAATGGCGTTCCATGTACGCACTTCCTGCCTGCATCTTACACCCTGCTGTTATGTGCTGTAATGTCTCAGGGGCATCCTTGCACAGTCTGCACCTGTGGTCCTGCCTGATGTGGTAGACCCCAGCCTCTATTGTTCTTGTGATTAGTGCTTCTGTGCTGTCCTTTAGTCCAGCCTTTTCCAGCCACTTCTTCTATTTGTCTGTGGTACATGCCGTTCAGCCTGAGGTATTCACTAAGCCCTTCATCTTTGGGGCCCATCTTCCTGATGTAGTCTTGGAACTTTGTTGTTTCATCCTGGACAGTGGTCTTTACACTCACTAGCCCTTGGCTTCCCTCGCTATGCTTGGTGTACAGTCTCAGGGTGCTGGATTAGGGGTGAAACCCTCCAGGCATTGTGAGGATCTTTCTTTTCTTGATGTCAGTAGCCTCAAAGGAGGAGTCCTTTGGCCAGTTTATTATATCAGCGGGGTATTTGATGACTGGCAGGGTGTATGTGTTGATGGCTCGGATCTTGTTTTTCCCATTCAGCTGACTTTTCAGGACCTGCCTTATTCTCTGTACCCTGCGACCACACTTTTTCTAGTCCAAACAACATTCCAATGTTGTTGCTGTAGATCCTGGTAGTGTGGATCAGTGTGTTGATGTCTCACTCATTTCTGGTATACAGCTTGATGTCATCCATGTAGAGGAGGTGACTGATGGTTGTTCCACTTTGGAACCGGTTATTGCACATTAATTATGAATCCCACTAGGTGGTTTTTATTGTGATGTTTCAAACTCTGAGGTCTCAGAGCTCATCGAATGCACTTGTAGCAAATGTAGGTGCATCTATACAATGTTAGCCACAAAAGACCTTCTCAGAGTTAGCAATAAATGACACCTCGTACAAGGCTTCAAAACTATTCAGTGTGCAGATTATTTTTTGTTTTTCACAACAGAGTAACTTCTCAGTGAATGTCACATTTGTCTCTTAAAGAAATGTCAAAATAAAACAGTATATAACATCAACCTTTCATTTTTTACTTTCTACCAACATATGCAAAATGTTATAACCTATAAATACCATCTTCATATTAAAAG